GAATGTGATTAAGGAGTAAAAATTCAAGATTTCCTGTGAAAGAAAGTAAGGAGAATTTATCAGTTACCGCTTGTCTGCCTTAAAGCTAAGAATTATTTTTTTTTAATCATATTTTTGAGTGGTTCAGAATTCACTTCAAGAAAATGTGAAGAATCCATCTAGAAACAAACTTTAATTCTGTGTATTAGCAGAGTCAAGTTACCATGACCTTGAATATGCGCTAAACCAATTTTTAATTATTACTGTCAGAGCAGTTCTTTTTCTGCGGAGAAGTAATGGCCTATGATATATTGGAGGCCAGATTAAATCATCCTGACTATTCTTTCTGGTCAAAGTCTCGGAAATTGGGAAAAAATGACTTGAGAGTTAAACCTAAGCATAAAAAGAGGGATAATGGGAAAGATGTATGGAATAAAATTACTATGTAATGTGTAATTTATCAAAGTTTTGTAAAATTATGAAAACTTTTCATTCTAAGTTTCTATACATGTGTGTATACTACTGAAGTATGTAACAATTCTATGATAAAGTTGCACTTTATGTATTTGGGGCTTTTTTCCCCTGTGTCTGGCTTTGTGCGTCATGGACTTTGTGTGTCTTGTTACTGGCCTTAACTTAGAAAAACTAAACTCAGTTTAAACAGGCAAGGTTTTTGGAGATTTTGTTGTCTGTTTCAAGACGTGTGTTCACCTGTGTGACAAATTTAAGACTCTTCCAGGATTAGTAAAGAGAAAAGGAAGTGAGGCATGATCATACTATAGAGACAACTGAAAATGCAATTCTGCAGCAAGTTTGATGAGGTGAACAAGACCAGACCTGAGGGATCAGGAGGAAACTGAGAACAAGGTGTTAAATCTCTACAAAATTGTGACAACAGTAGCAAAAGGATTTCTTTTTTGCCTTAATGTATTCATAAATGCTCATCTATCTGTGTTTTTTACAAATACATTTTCTAGGATGGTAAACAGTTTCTTGCTTTCTGCAACTGAGATTTTTCATATGGATAAACTATATATTTGAGTTCTAGTCTGTTCACTCTGTCTTCATACCAGCAGTTACAGTAGTTATAGTATTAAGAGCGACGTAATTACTTGGAGGAAGGGATGAATATTAGGACATAAAGAACCTGCAGAATGTGTGGATGTTAGTGTCCTTGGACTATGTGTGGTTGCCAACATACCACAAAAAAGCCCAAACAAGCCTGTTCTCTTACAGCTGGGAAATACTTGATGTGCACAAAGTGAAAAGTTCAGTGTGGAGCTTTGTATTAGTAATTTTTGTACCAGGAGTTTGAGATATTATGTGCTTATTCAGAGGTAATTCATTTGCTCTTCAGACTCTTGGTGAATATATACAGTGCAGACTTCTTACTTTAGTTCTTTATTTTCTTAGTGCCTTTTCTTACGTAGGTATATTGAAAAAACTGCAAACTGCATGCCTATGTTTTTGAATCTTTGTGGCATGTTTTTTCTTGATTATTACACTTAAGAGGTTATTTGTTGGTATCTTTCTATTAAAGAATGGGAGTAAAATCTCCTGCCTAAAATGGAGCAGTGTTTTAAAACACTTAGATCTGTTATCCTGCATGTTGTATTACATTAGAAAAAGCTGTTAAAACAGTTTATGTGTATTTAAGTGCCCAAACAAAAACATCACATGTTGCTTTGAGACACCTCATGAGTTTTTTTTAAGTTCTTTGTTCATCCATTGATTTGTCTGTGTATTTTAGTCCGTTGGTCTGCTTTTGCTTTTTCATGGAAGATGAGCTGTGCCTACTTTTTTACTTTGCTTATACTGCAGCTGTGATGCCTTTCTTGCCTTGTGAAGCCTGAGTGCTGGTGTGGTAAATAGTTGTGTATTGTGTACAAAGTCATTTAGTCGCTAACATTTTATTGCCGTTGGTTTCAGACACTTATCCCCATTAGAAGAATGTGCCATTCTACTTAGAAAAGTGGAATAAATCTTATAACCCTGCCTGCAGGGAAAGGGTTGAGGGAGGAACAGGGAGGATATGTGGGTTATACTGTGTATGTTTGGCTGAGCATGACTTGCACTGAAAACTTTGGTTTTTACTCTTGCTGAGTATTACTGTTGTTCATTAAATAGTTAAAACATGCTTTACTGACAAGAGAGGGGAAAAAATCCTATCAGCAACTTTTGCTGATAATTTTTCTGATTCATGCGAGCACTTTTTAGTGAAGCTGCCTTTTCCTGTGAGGCAATATGATTTTGCAGCAAGAAGTTTGTGTATATGGTTTAGGCATTGTTTATAAATTAAAGCAGAAGATTAATTTCTTTCAGATTCCTGTGGGAAATAGCATTGAAACTGGTAATTGGGGTACTTTGATTTAATTTTTTGTTTTGTTTTCTAAAGCCAGTCAGGCACTTCTGTTCCATAATATTCAAATGGGATTTAATATGTTGTATAAAGTAGTTGCATAGGCAGAAGGGGTATGAAGATAAATAGTTGCATGGGTAGGATGTGTTGCATAGTAAAAATGGTATTAAAAATATTATTTATAAAAAAGTAAGATGTTTCTCTGTCATTAATATGTTTGGAATCTTGAATTCTACAAAATAGAAATACACTTTTCTTTACAAGAGTGATACGATGGATATTGAAATAACCACAGATATCCTTAAGTTAGAATTTAATTCTGAGTGCCTTGTATGTTTGTCAAATTATGCAGGATTGAAGAGGCTCACACACTCTTAAGCAGAGTAATGCCTGAGCTCTGTAAGTTAATCATATTAGTAGTCCTCAAAGGACAAAATCTTCTTGCTATTGCAAATTATGGAAGGTTTTCTGTGAGTGCTATGGCACTATGTTGGGATTGATCTAATGGTCAGTTTCCATTAAAAGCCTTTGGACATCTGTTCCACTGTTTCATGTGCATCCTCAGGAGTCAATTGAGTTTGAGTTTCTTAAATTGGCCCCCCTGCACAACTGTCTAAGCAAAAGGGGCAGCTCACTGGAAGTAGCAGGGTCAGAACCACTATTTTCAGTGATAGCTGGTCAGTTGTTAAATAGAATCAACTGGCAGAGTTAAATTTCACATTCACATTCCATGAGATGAAATACATAAGTGTCTGCATGAAAATGTTTTTATTTGAACTTATAGTTTGCTCTGTCACCATAAATTTCACCCAGAAAAGCAAGATGTTTTGGAAACGAGTTCGACAGAAAGGAGAAAACAAACTAATTTTGGGATTTTTTTTCTTGAAATTTTTTTTCCTTCATAGCTCTGAAACGGTGTTCTATGATCCTGAAATCTGATGTTTTGTAGGCCTCTCAGTCACTCTTTTGGACTAAACTTGACTTTCTTAACTCTGATTTTAAAAAAATTATTCTCAGTATTTTAAAGATTGAAATTATTTCCTTTTTTCCTTATTTAATTCTCTATTTATAGTTCCTATGTGGAGGGAAAAACCCAGCCACCAAATATGCTCCTTCCCCCCAAGAAAACCCCAATATTAAGGAAAAAAAAAAAGGCAAAACAAAAAAATACCCCCAAACCAAAATACAAACCAACCATCCCAAAAAAACCCACAAACCAAAACAAGCCACCTTTGACCTATGCCACTGGAGCATTTAATTAAGTGCCAGTATTGTTTGAATTGGTGCCTGTTGCTTGTTGCAACCAGAGAAGTAACATAATTGTTGTTAATAGCAGGCTGAGTTAGTAATAGATCTAGGATAAATGGTTGGGTCTTTGGCCTGTCTAATATTGGTTTACTATTTCAGTAAGATCATGTTCCATGTACGTAATGATTCGGAACTTCAGCCACTTCACTGATTTGACTTAAAACATTGACTACAACCCTGTACTGGTTGAGTGTAGTTTTTCTGTGATACATAATGTAAAGACAACATAAATTCTCATAATGGTGTTTGAAAGATGTATTTCAGATATATTTTTCTTATTTTTAGGCATCATGCTTAAGTTTTTCTTGATGATGGCATGTTTTTCACAAATGACATTCTTAATTTCCCTTTTTTAAAAAAAAATTGGACTTTTCCTCTTTCATATTTAGTAATTATATAGTTGAAGTGCATGTAGAAAGAATAGAGAAGGGGCTTTGAACAGTTTTCTTAATTGATTGCACGGTACCATCCTAACTTGCATAAAATTAATGAGCTATTTTAGTTACCCCAACAGTAATGGACATTAGTTAAAATAAACTATCCTCTTTGCTCATAAGCTATCTTCTTTGCTTATTTGCATCTGGTATAAATTCGACTTTTACTTCACTTTTAAATTAACCTTGTGCTCTGAGAGGAAATACGCTGTTTTTTAGAAGAAAACATTGCATCTGTTATGATCTGATAGATGCATTACTCTAGCACATATACAAACAGTCTTACAGGCCATGTTAGTAATGGAAGAGAAAGTCCTGCTTGTCTCCCTTTAATAAGTAGCCAGCTCATGGTTTTTTCACACTTTCCCATTTGCAGGGAACTTTTAACAATTACTTTTCTACTTATTTTGCCATTTTGAAACATAGAGGCACTGAAAAGGACTTGGATTTTTTTCCTGATTGCTTTTTATATTAAAATTTTAAAATAAAACCTCAATCAAATTTCTAAATTACTTTCCTTTTTTTTTTTTTTTTTTTTTTTTTTTTTTCTTTTGCGTGCATAATGTTATATCATAAATCTGTGTGCAAATCACCAGTAGTGGTAGTGCAAGAATGAATACTTAACTCTGGAGAGGGATTTATTGTTAGAATGAAGACTTGAAGGAAGTAAGGGTGAGGGGAAAAACACTAGGAAGCTTGTTCTTTTGTGACTTATCTTCTGTCATTTCTTGCATTGTTTTCTATTAACTAGGTTGTCTTATGTTATGGCTTCTTAGAATTTCAATCTCAGTTGTAAACAAGAAGGAATCATTTATGTCCATCATAGGGTAAAATAAAACCCTAATTCCAACTCTTCATGCCTCTCAAACATCTTAAAGAAGCAAAATAGGGCACAAGCCCAATTTTTTTTTGCTTTTCAGGTCTCCTTTAAGAACAGAGACAGCCATGATCCAGCAGTTTTGGAGGTAGAGGCAAGTAAATGTTTTACTTCTTGTAAACATTCCAGTAAGTTTCTGCAAATCATCTATAATTTGAGGAGACCCTGGTTGAAAAAGAACCTAAGTCCTTCCCCCTTTCCTAAATGGTGAATTTGCTTTGTATGATTCTGCATGAGGAAAAATATATTTAAGCTATTATTTGGTTATTGACAGGCTTCACATCAGTTACACACTGTTGCAATACCTAATTGGTGTAGAAATATGCAAGTTTAATGCTAGTAAGGTTTTTGTGATAATAGTTGTTGAAGTTCTCTCTTTTGAACCTGTCTTCAAACTGTAAATTGTGTTGGGTGGTTCATTACAGTGATTTGCTTAAAAAAGTAAAAAGTGCCTAGTGTTTGCTACCTCCAGCTGCTGGTGTTCAAATCAGCTGTCCAGCATTCTCATTAAGGACCATTTAACAGCCTCTTCTGTACTGGTACTAAACTTGTAACTATTTCTATGCCTGGGATATTTCTGAGCACTCATGTTGAGTTTCTCCTGAAGGTGTCACATCTGAAGGCTATATTGGCAGTACAGGAAGGAACTATCCATCTGTATTGCAGAAGTATTTTTGGGCCTTCTTATTCAGTGAATAAAACCAGACAATTTACATCATTTCATGAGAATACAGGATTACACATATTTGGGAAAGTTTTGCTCAATTTCTCTTTTGGGAGGTAGGAACAAATGTTCTACTCCGTGTTAGAGGGTTACAGCGGGAACAGGAAAAAAGCTAGGTTTTGGTTAGCTAATGTGAGAGAATTCAGTGAGATAAAAAAATTTGCTAGTTAATAAGCTGTATTGACCTCAAGTAATACCTCTACCACATGGAGAAGAGAGAGGAGGGGAAAAAAGAAAGTGGCCAGGTCAGGAAGTGGGAGGTCAGCACTTCAGTTGACAGTAAATCTTTGTCATCTGTTGCAAATGCGTTTTGAAGAAAGGGATTATGCTTTTGCCCTTCTGAGGAGCAGGAAACATTTAGAATGACGGAAGTCACCTTTCTTCTAGCTCTCTCTGTAGGATGTGAGCAAAGCATGTAATTATTTTTGTCCTCAATTCATGTACAATGCTGTCTTATTTTCTAAGATGGATGAAACCATTGTAGAACTTAAAGGCATAGACATAATGACCTTTTCTACCCAGTCTTACCATCTTCAACTTTTGTAATTCAGAAGTATATTAAACTGTAAAACTTTAGTTTTATTTTTGTGTGGGCAGATAAGCATGCAATCTGAAAACATACATAATGGACATTTTAACAAAAGAAGCTTGGAACTTGTCTTCTGAAGAATGGAAGCAGTTAGTTTTTAGTAATATTTTTTCATGTTTCTGATAATGTACAGGAATCTGTTAAAAGTTACTCACTTCAGATATCTTCAGACTTGGTTAACCCATCAAGGATTTACTTTGCTTTTGTGGCTTCATACTGTAATGGCATTCTGTTTGATCCTTTTAATCTGTTTGGTATTTATTCAAGATGTTTCCTCTCTTCATTTATATCTTTGGTAGCTGAGGGAGATGGCTGGATCTACCCCTGTTTCTCTCCAGACACTGTGTAGTAAAAGCAGAACTTGAAATTTTTCATAATAAATCTTAATTTTTCATGTTGCAGTGACTTGCAGTGGAGCTGTGATCATTCGGTAAATGACAGCTCTTAGTTTGCACACTTAGTTTTACTCAAAATGATGCAAATGAAAATGTGAGCAAATTCACTATTTAATGAGGTTTTAAAAGATTACATTCCATTGGTGAATATTTTTGTATGTTTTACCAGAACTCGTGGGATTCAAAAAGTTCATGTGGAACTGGATGCCATTTTGGAAGGATGATGTCTCCTAAGCAGCAGTTGTAGGACTGCTAATTGAATGGGATCTTGAAGGATGCATATCTAGTCATTCTTTTCTTAACCAGTATGCATGTAAATATCGTGATATTTGACTTTAATTAAAATTACTAATAGCTTTCACTTTGTTTTATGTTTATGTAATAAGCAAGGATTTTATTGCTTTTCAATTTATTGTTTTTCAATTTAAAAAGTGGACAGAGTCTTCATAATTACTCATTTACAGAAATTATTGATTTCAATAGTTTCACAGGGATTTTATTTTAAATATATTGCACTATGTAAAGAGCTGATGTAAGTGTATAGTATTTTAAATGAGATTAAAAATCTGTATTTTCAGCTCATGAAGTGTAGAAAGTAAATAAAGACTTGCAAACCCTGACCTTAAGGATGGAATCATTGAAGGACTAGAGAGCTCTATGTGAAAGCCACCAGATAGTACTGGTGGGTTGCAGTGTTCTAATTGCTAGGAATGGTTGAAGTCATACTGCTGAAGGGAACTATCAACTGGCACCTTTCTTTTTTGGGGGGTTGGGTTTGGTTGGTTGGGTTTTTGTTTGCTTGGGGGTATTTTGTTAGGTGTGTTGGGCTTTGTTTTTAAATCAGTGGATTGATGTTACCTGAGAGGTAAAGGAGGATACCAGTCTCAAAGATACATAATTTCTGTACTGTAGGAAAGGCTTTCTTAATACATTATCACTGATATTCGTAAGAGCCATTTAATACCAGTTCCAAGCTGGGCACTCAGCTATGCAGTCTTTAACTTCAACTATTACTACATTGAGAACATGTGACACATGCTGGATACTCCTCATTGTGCAGTCATTATAGTCAGTAGAGTTGTTTCATGAAATTGGTCATAAAGGAGGTTTGGTCACACTTTAAGTTATCTCGGTGCTAACTTGGGTGTGTCAAATCCCATGTAATTGTAGCAAGGATTTAAGACAACCGCTGCAATAAAACTGTAATTACAGACTGTGTGCAAGGTTTCAGGCATAAGTACATGGAAAGTTTGTGTGCTGAGATTATTTGAGGCAGGAGTTATAAGTTCTTTCAAGAGCTCAACTTTAGTTTGTTAGTTAATATTTATTGTCAGTTCCATACTCAGTGGCAAATGTTGAGTTTTCTGTATTCTCTGTAACAAAATTTCCTTTATTTTTTAAGTAGAAGTTGTTTAATTTGTGTTTGTATCTTGCCTGCTACTTTCCATTTGTCTTGAACTGTTTTCCAGGATTTTTGTTTATAAATAAATTGGTTTTGTAATTGTTGCAACTGAGTAAATTGGGAAAGACTGGAACTGTTTCAGTAGGGAGGGAAATGATTAAAACCCAAAGATATATAAACATATGCTTGTGTAACCACTGTAAGAGTAAATTGTTATAGTTTGAGTAAACTCATTGTTTTGTTTAGCAAAAAATGAACAGAATGGCGACAAAAAATAATGCTAAATTGTTACTGTTAAATGTGTTAAAATCTAACAGGCTTAGCAGTGATGCTATATAAAATGTTATAGAATTGCTGTATTCCTTGTTTTGCTCAGTACTGTACTACTGATTATGGGTCACCATTGAACAAAAAGTTTAATAAATCGTGGGCAAAAAACTACACTATTTTTCATGCATTGCTTGAAAGTATTACCATAGTATGAATCCAGAACAGACCACATAAAGCTTGCATAACCTTTTCCTCGAAAAAACCCCAACCCAAAAATAGAAAAAAAAAAAGGGAAAACCCAATCCATACAGAAAACCTGTATGAATGGAGGCTCAACCTGAATAAAATCATGGCAATCAACTGATGAGCTTTCTAGCTGTAAAGCAAATGAATTAGTGTATGGATTAGACTGATCCTGAAATTTAGCTTTTCAGTTGTTTCCAGCTGGTAAAGAACATCTTACCCTGGCTGGGCAACATAATATGTTTGGTAACATGCTGTGAACTTATGCCACCTGTAGCATAATGTCTTTTTAGCTGCAATATTCTGTGGAAAATGATTGTTACATTAGTCAAAAATGTACCTGGCTCCTTCAAAAACTTCACGAAGTGTAGTGGGGGCCACTATTCAGAGTTGAGCAAGCAGCTATGTAAGCACTGGGGTAAGAACCATGGGCAGTCACCTGCCTGAGAGTACTTGTTCACTAAGATAAAGACATTCTGTAACAGGTATTTACAAGGCCTGCTGGCTGCAGGATTAACTTTGAACATCATTTCTGGTCTCACTTCTCTCTAATCTAAAATCTAAGACATCCTTCTAATGCTTCTATAAATTTGAAAATTCAGACCGTAATAGTGTGGGAGAAAATCACTATGTAAAGAAATGAGAGTGAATAACTGAGTGACATATTAATTATATAATTCGTTAGTGGAAAGCACTCCTAAGCGATTACAAAAGCTTTTAAAAAAAAGCCTTATGTAATAGGGCAGTATTAGTGCTGCTGTATGGTGAAGAGAGGAAACAGGGCTGCTGAAACCCTGTCTCCTGTGAAATTACACATTTTTACGGGCGTGGAGATTTGCAACTTCCAATTAGAAGATGCTAGAATTAGAGTTGCTGGTTGTGACCTTTTTGTCTAAATGAACTTTTCTTTGAGTTAATCACTATGCTGTGCACCACTCTTTTTTTGTTTGACACACCCTTACTTAAATAGGTGGGTGGTATGGAACTGAGATGTAACATCTGATGTGGAAGGTGCTGCTTGCTTTGCATGCCTAACTTGAAGTGAGTGGAAACTGAGTTTTCAGAGTACTTAACTTTTCAGTAACAATTCATGTATTATGGTAAAATTCCATTTGCCGTAAGTGGCACTAATAAATGCAAAACGTGTGTTGAGTTGGGAGTCAGGCAGTGTGGGGCTGCCCATCCTCACGCCCTGTTGGGAGCGGCTGTGCTGCTGTGCAGTCTGCCAGAGGTGTGACTGGTGGCTGGCAGCTTCCTATATGCCTGTGCCCTCCTTTGTGCTCAGCCTGCTACTTGTGGAATGTGTCACTGAGCCAGTTCAGCTTGCTAAACAGGCAAAACCTAATCTGACAGCAGTAGTTTGCTGCTGTGTTAACTTGGCTCTGGAAGGCCCCAGCGAGAGCTGGTGCAGAGAAGGGAAGGACTCTGCCAGGTGGTGGAGAAGAAGGAAAAAGGATTGGAGCCACTTTTC